TGTGTGTGTGTGTGCGCGTGAGTGTGTGCGTGTGTGTGTGTGTGTGTGTCTGTGTGTGTATCTGAGTAAAAGAAGCACTTCGACACAATAAAAAATCTTAAAGTGGACGGGAAAACAGCCAGATAGGCATACATAGAGATATAACAACAAGTAGAAAAATGAAAGTAGGACCTGCAAGAAGCTCCCTCTGTCTACTCACGAATGATGTGTGAGTGAAATAGGGGAGGACCAATGGCGTGGCGTTAGGGTCAAAGCTCTCCGCTTTGTCAATAACAATTTTAGTATTGTATGTTCCCATCGACACAACAAAGATAATTTTGAAAGCGGGCTGTTTGGACCTTGTCAATCAGAATCAACCCGGGTTGATCGGGGTGCAGTATCTTAACAGAAAGACGGATTGTTTGTAGACATTGCATGTCCCCGCAGACAGTTGACAAAGCAACTGCTTTGACATACGGCATCAGCTTAGAAAAAATTGAACAGAATGGAAGGGACAGTGAAAGAAATGTTGACAGCTACACACAAACACAAGCACACAACCCAACATGGACAACAAATGAAAATGTTGTTTAAATCATCAATTTATACGAATTCACTTAAAGTAAGGTCAATAATTCTATAAAATTACCAATGTCAAAATGAAATAAGTAGTTAAGCATTCCTTTTTCAGGACATTAAATATAAACACACGATAGTGTGAGTTGTCAGATACTAAAGAAATAAGGCAGACGGAACTTTGGAGACACAGGGAGCAGAAAAGTACACGATTTGCCCACCTGCCCCACTACAGTTCTAATAGTAACATTTAGAACAACTAAACTAACAAAACTGTGGAATAAGTCATTAATGTATTATAAGAGGTGTACTATGACATCTACATAGATGACATATTTGTTGAATTGCAATCTAGGAATAATCAACAATAGTCTCATAATGCCGCCATAGACCAGTGCCCTATACTCAATGGGTCAGAAAGAAATATAAACACATTGAACTTAGAATTTTGAACCAGAGGGGAACAAAACTCAAAATGATGACAACTATTAGCAAAAAGATACTGCATTGCCTAATGACAAACAGCATCTGTTGCGCAGTTGGCGGTGAGCTTGTACAAAACACTTAAGTTAAAGATCCGAATTCTGGCAGATATGGTTATCATTTCTGTGTAATCCTCAGAGTTTGGAAAGTTTAGTGCCTCTACAGGGAATCCAGGGCTCTGTTCTCAAAGCTACAGAATAAAGATAAAGTTGCGTCTAGTAAGACAAAGGTATAATAGAAATTACATTGTAATAATAATAATAGCAATAACAATAAAAATGTATATAGCGCCTTCTCTCGTACAATACAACTCAAGGCGCTTTACATGAACACATCCTGTAGAAAGTACAGTGCAAAAAGTGAGGGGTGTGTGCAGTGTGCTGAGGGTTGGGCATGGACGTGCTGTGTGTGAAGGGTGGGAGGGGAGAGGGAGAGGGAATGGAGGGGGGGAGAGGGAATGGAGGAGGGAAAGCTAGGGAG